AACTAAAAGTATCTCTAACTGAAAGTATCTTACCTGACTGTAAGATGTGTCTTACCGTGGGCTGGTAAAGAGAAGGAAATGGCCTTTCGCCCTCTGCGAGTAAACTTCTTTTTAAATTCGTGCCTGCGGGCGAGAAAAGAAGGCAAGTAGCTGAGTTAATGCTCCGGTTCTTTTCTTTACTGCGTCCCCCAGGAGACTGTTTGCTGTTCTCTTATTGTTTCTGCTCGAGGGGAGCGAGTCCTATGCCTCTAGGACAGGAAATACCCCAGACCCAGCCTGCGGTTTGGAAGCGTCTCGCTGCTGCTGCTCTGCCAGTTCTAGGTAAGCGCTCTTTGCTTTGCTGGAGGTTTTAGCGGCGGCCTCTTCCGCAATCATATTTAAATGCGGCTTTGCCCAAGAGCTGCCGCTTTAGCTGCCCTATGCTCGCTTTACTGTAGCAATGGCATACGAAAAGCAATACTCTCTTTTCCATTCTGACTGCGTAAGACCGCTACTCCGGTTCGGTCACCTTGGACATTTCATGCTACTGTGTTCTAATTTTGCCAGTGCCCCTCAGTCTCTCGAAATAGCCTATAGCGCGTAAAGCCATAACAGTTGCACTGCCAGAGGGTGAAGCTGCCGTTTAAAAGGAACTTGATGCCAAATTGGGGGAGCCTCGAGAAGCTCGGTAAAGGAAAAAGCGGAGCCCAGTACAGCAGGCGTTATTTTCTCACCTCCCCCTGCGCTGTCTGGTTGCGGGACGGGGAGAAAGCTATGGGGTTACCTGGGGAGACTGGAATTTCAGCAGACTAAAGCCCTGAGCAACTTCATGAGCTGCTGAAGAGGTATCTGATGTCAAGGCTGGCGGATCAGATAACTTCAGGATTCCTTTTCTGGGAAAAGGAAGTGCTATGACTGTCGTCTCAGCGGCTTCTTTCACTGTGTTATGTAAAAGAGGGCTGGTGCTGCTCAGCACTTAGGTAGATAATTGCACGAGGAGAGGTTTTCTCCCTGTTATATCCCCTTAAAAACAAAGGTAGGTGATAAATTTATGCTACAGCAGACAGTTCCTGTCTACTCCTTTAATTACTTTCTGATTTCCTACAGCTACAACAGCAGATAGAGCCTTCTATGCTTAGTGCTGCAGGTCTTTCTTTCTCAACTGTAATTGTAATTGCTACTTACACAGCCTACTACAGAAAACAGTTGTATTGTGAAGTACTTGAACCTGTTGGGTTTCTGAGTGGTCTTCCCCCTAAAACCAGAGTTACTCTAGTTGTGTAGCTGTCACAGCATGCTATCTTTCCACAGAACTCAACTCCTGAAGCACGAGCCCTTGGGAAGCATGGAATAGAAACAGTGATGGCATGAAACTGCGCTGCGCGGCAGATGGAGTGAATGCAAGAAGAAGTTATTTCAGTCGCAACAATTATCAATGATTGTTGTCCTTTTTTTTGTGAATGACAAAAACTACCTGTATGCATTAAACTATTTCTCTGTGTCTTGGGCTGGAGAATGCAGATGACAGAGTGTTAAAGGGGATAGCTGTGAGGGTCCCTGTTAAATAGGAGGGGAAAGGGGGTGAGATGACCTCTGTGGGTCCCCTTTCAATTGTAACAATTCCATAGTTCTGTGACAAGTCAGGCAGTGTTTAAGAAAACAGGGATGCATGCTTACTGTTTAGCGTAACAGCAATAATGATGATGTAAGTTGAATGAATTTGTTTTTAACAGAGGGGGAATACTTTTAGTAGTAAGAATGTTATATTCTACTGTTGAACTCTAGCTGCTGTGATGTTTGCTGTGTAAAATCCAGGTTACAAAAGGGAATAAATACTGCATTTCTGTTGAGAAAATTTCTTGCGTTTAATGGACTTGTCCAAAAATGCAGACTATTATGTTTTCTAATGTTTCCATGATCATTAAAAGTTCTAATATTACACTTATGCCATATTAAACTTTATACAACTGTGGTAGTGTGGCTGACAGAGCTGTTTTTCTGGGGCTGGTTCTACTATTTTCTATTTAACAGTAAGGCTGAAGAACTCAACTTGGATTAAACTAGGCTAATAGGATACACTAGGCTTGCAGAGTGTTGTATTAAGAGTGCAAGGAGTGTTTTAATTTCTGTCCCTGTATTTCCACGTTACTGGGATTTAACACTAAACACTACTTTCCATCGTGGTTTCTCTATGTGCTTTTCTTCCTCTGTGTGTTCGGGTGTGCCCGCTACTGTTGGCGTAAACATTAATAGATTCAGACTCCTTTTCTTGAGCTTCTGCTGACAAGTTTCTCTGCACTCACATTACTGAATTTTATATACGATTCACTTTCCAAATACCCAGCTGCCATTTCTAAAGAGTTTCCTTGCCAATACCTTACTTAGGAATGTGTTCTTAACTGTTATGCCTACAAAGTACCTGTGTTTAATTAATCATAATTGCTACATTAGTAACTGTTTCCTTGCAACAAAATATGAGGCTCTCCTTCCTTACATCCAAGCTCAAACACTCCGCAATCTCAAGAGAAGGCATCTTTGAGTTCTGATGCTGCTTCGTGCCACCTGATGCAACCCTTACAGACCACGGAAACCCAAAAGCTTCTTCTGTCATTTTAGTTGCAAACAACTGAAGGAGATGTTCCAAAGTAAACCTCCTGTCTTTAAAGAAAAAGTTTAAGGTACTGCGACAGTTCTGTGCAGTCCTTTCTCTAAATGTGTTTTCTGAACAGCCATCGTGCTGAACACGCCTTTGCTGTGATGGTAACTAAGAGTCAGTGTAATCGCCTGGTAGATTCACCAACTTCCACAGTCAATATTCCCTATTTTTAAGAGTTGCTTCTAGGATCACTAACACACCCTTCTGCAAATACCGTGAGGCATACCAGCTGTGGTTTAACCCCACTGGTGACTAAGCACTCTATCCCCCACCCTCCCAGGGGAATGGGGGAGAGAACTGCAAAAAAAAACAAGAAAGTAAAGTAGAACTCATGGTGTAATGCTATTACAGGATGGAAAGTTCTGCAACAATAGCAGAGTGACAAAGTTTTTGGCTGAAGCAAATGAGGATGAGCCCTGATGAAACAGCCACAGATGCAGAAATAAAGGGAAAGGTCTGCTTACCTTCAAACAGCCTCAGGTAGGCAGGGATCTCCAGCAAGAGATGCCCTTGCCTCCACTGCCAAACCTTAAATGAGGTCTGCGAAGGGGTGGATCCTGGCTCCACCCCTTCTGCTTACTCAGAAACATTGCATGCACCTGAGCTCCCCTGGGTTGGCCCTGTCTTCCCAGCAGGTGCTCAATCACTGCCTCAGGCCCTGACTTAGCATTTCCACCACACATGGGTAGAGATCAAACTTTGTACTGAGATGATAGAGAAAAGATTAATAGGTATGAATATATATGCACGCATGTATACATATAAACATAGATAGCAAGTAATGCGCAAGCAATTGCCACTACCGCTACCACCCAAGTGATGCTCAGCTAGCTCCCCGATGAATGAAAGAGAGCAAAATGAACTCATAACTCATGACCTTCAAAATTCTTTCCATGTGACGTCACGTGCTATGGAATACCTTTTGGCTACTTTAAGTCAGCTACCCCATTCACTCCCAGCTCCGTGGATGCTTTGCTGAGACTGGTATTGGCTCTGAACAACACTGGACAGCTGCAACTAAAAACATCAGCATGTTATCAACATTGTTCTTCTTGTAGAACCAAAATGTGGCCTCATACTGGACACCTGAAAAAAAGAAATTCCTTCCTAGCTGCAACAAAGACAATACCTTCTGATTATTTAGAAGTAAAACCAATTGGCTCTATAGGCAAGGAAGTATTTATCTCAAAAATTCTTAATGGCAAAAATTGTTCCACATGTACTGTAAAAAGGAAAACACAAAACCACAGGAAAAAAAAAAATTGTACTTACTGTAAAAAAAAAAAAAAATAGAAAATATAAAAATAAAAAAAAATAAAAATAAAAAACACACAGAAAGTTATTAGGTTTTCCAGATCGTATGTTCTGCAATTTATGGAAAAAACTAACTGGGATAAAACAAAAACCATTGCTACTGAACAAAGACAAAAAGTTTCCATTCCATTTTGAAAATCCCAGAATAGCTGAAGATTCTGGGGACCCTCAGCAATGGGTGCAAGGGACCTCGGGGATCAACCAGTTCCCTGCCAAGATCACTCTCTGAGAGCGTGTCCTGAGATCGAATTCCAAATAATAGGGTAGGACTTTATTATCTGTAACATTAAGAGATCATTTAAAGGATTTACTACTTCACTCCGGTCCTATACAGATCAGCAGATCACAAACCAGAAATCTCAATTTGTAGCCACCCATTTGCCATTCCTGTTTTTCCTCACATCAGTGTTTCAGATAGGATGAGGAAATAAAATAACAAAATCCATGGAAAACAGGCTGACATTGCAACGTTTCTTGCCAAGATTAAATCAAATACGGAAAAATATATCACAATTGGACATTGAATTTATACTTGGGAATTCTATAACTGTAAGGACTACAGAAGTAAAAACAAAACCACGAAATAAAGTAGTGCACACTTACCCAAGGTGATCGACGTGCAAATCATTGTTGGATGTTTTTTCTTTGTTGGTTTCCTTTGTAGTTGCTGTTTGTTTTTTACAGTTCACACACTTTAAAAGAAAATAAGCAGATGTTCGCTTTTTCATGGTAGGAAAATAAAATTAGTTCCACGCAACTGTGACCTTTCACTACCCTACCTTTCCATTAAGTTCAGGTATAATTACCTATTGACATGATAAATACCCAATAAAATCCAATACAACGAGCTCTACACACATAATCTTCATGCCAAAAAAAAAAAAAGGATAATCATTACAGAGAACTTCACAGAATCACAGAAACACCAAGACCTACAAGATCATGCAGTCCAACCATCCACCTATCACCAATAGTTCTCATTAAACCATGCCCCTCAGCACAAAATCCAAGCATTCCTTGAACAACTCCAGGGTCGGTGACTCCACCACCTCCCTCGGCTGCCCGTTTGGTGCCTGACCGCTCTTTCAGAAAACTAGTACTGCCTAATGTCCAGCCTGAATCTCCCCTGGTGCAGCTTGAACCTATTCCCTCTAGACCTATTCCCTCGAGACCTATCACTAGCTACGTGACAGAAGAGGCAGACCCCCAGCTCGCTGCAACCTCCGTTCAGGTAGTTATGGAGACCAATAATGTCTCCCCTGAGCCTCCTCTTCTCCAAACTGAACAATCCCAGCTCCTTCAGCTGCTCCTCTTAAGGCCTGTGCTACAGACCCCTCTCTGACATTGTTGACCCTCTTTGAAGTGCCCCAATGTCTTTCCAGTGCCTCAATGTCTTTCTTGCAATAAGGGGACCGAAACTGAACACAGTACTGGAGGTGCAGCCTCACCGGAGCTCAGCACAGGGGGACGGTCACTTCCCTGTTCCCGCTGGCAACAGCATTTCTGATGCAAGCCAAGATGCCATTGGCATTCTTGGCCACCTGGGCAAGCTGCTGGCTCACGTTCAGCTGAGCATCAATCAATACCTCCAAAACAACAGCATAAATTAAACACTGCTTTTATTTCAAGTTACAGCTTCTTCACAAAGTGAAGCATCCTTAAAGTACACAGTAAGCCAGAAGAACTTCTGCATCAACTGCAAATGGCCAAAAAGAAAATAATTTAAGTGTAACACGATGGAAAAATGCAGCAATGACAACAGAGCAGCAAGGTCACAGGGGGCCACAAGCAAGGATTTGCTCAAACACAACAGCAGCAGACACAGAAATAAAGGAAAGATCCCTAACAGTAACTTACTCTGCGCTGCCAGCCCTTAAATGAGGTCTGGGAAGGGGTGGATCCTGGCTCCACCCTTCTGCTCACTCAGGAACATTGCATGCACCTGAGCTTCCCCGGGATGGCCCTGCCTTCCCACCAGGTGCTCAATCACTGGTTGGAGCTGTGATTTAGGATGTCTGCTGCTGCAGTGATTTCCACTACAATAATGGTGCTGTTACTCAGAACGCTTCACTTTCTAGTCCATCCTCCTTAATTGATCTGCATAACTATACCTAACATTTCCATTAAAAGGAGAGTAAACAAGAAAACGATCTGAATCTATTTCCAACAGAATTGATTACAGTAGGTTAGAAAACATTTCTGAATGTCTATCTCAAATTTATGGAAATGGAAATATGGCTTCACTTAAAATAACAATTTTACCTAAAAATAGGAATCTAATGTATGCTTCTATCATTTGAAAATACTGTATTTTTAAATAATGTAGCAGAGATAAATTACTTAAGTTAACATGATCTTGGTCTCTATGTACTTTGAGGATAAGTGATGCCACTGAAAAAAATATTATGATTTTGGTTTTGTTTTTTTTTTTTTTTTAAAAATGGTATCATTTCCCACTTCACTTTCCTACTAAGCTGTGGAATGAGTTGCACTGGCACAGCAAGGGGTGCAAGAAGCACTGGTTAGAAGTAAGGACATTTAAGACAGAATTGCCATCCATGAAATGTGTGTGGAACCCTCCTCAGAGAAAGCAGTCGGTCCTCGGCAGGAGTCCGTTCTCCTGATCTATATTAGAGAGCTGTTAAAAAGTTCCAGTGCCTAGGCTGCACTGCAACCCTTCTGCCTATAGAAGCACATTAGCTGTGACCGCTTTCACCCTTCGTCTGATTCCTAAAACAACCAACTTTGGAAGACATGTAAAGTACTTGCTTCTGAACATCCTTTAAAGATATGGCTTGGACAAATAAAAGGAGGTTTCTAAAGGCAGTACTGTAACATATTTATGTAAATAAAGTAGACTACATTGTCCCTGTCGAATAAAAGTT